AGGCTGTGCAGGCACGGGTGCTTGCAGCCTTGCAACTGGCACAAAGTGAGTAGCCAGCCCGTGGCCCTTTAAGGGCTCTGGGGCCGGGAGGGGGGCAATAGAGTTTCCCTGGTGTTGGCCAGAGTGGAGGCTTGCACCTGGCACGGGCACCGTAGCCAGCCCGTGCCCCTTTAAGGGGTCCGGGGCCGGGAGGGGGGCATAGAGTTTCCCTGGTGTTGGCCAGAGTGGCCACCAGGGAAACCTGGGAAGCCTTAGCCTCCCACTAGTTCGAACTAAAGGGCTACACAGCCCTTAGTTCGAACTAGCTAGTTCGAACTAGGCGTTAGTCCTCGTAAAATGAGGTTTACCTAGTTCGAACTAAGCGCTCCGTTAGTTCGAATTAAGTTCGAACTAACGGAGCGCTAGTGTAGCGCCTAGGAAAGTTAGTTCGAACTAACGGACGTTAGTTCGAACTAACTTTCTAGTGTAGACATACCCGAACAGAGCGGTCACGTATAACTCAGCGGGTCCGACTTATGAAGAACAGAGTTATGACCAATTGCTTGGTCCATAACCGGTTCAGAAGTCGGAGAGAGGCTATATAGGATTTTGCACCTGTTCATTACTCACATTGTTTAACCTGTTCTTTCATATATGCAGTAAAGTAATAATATTTTCAGATAAAACTAAGCCATGTCAGCCGTCTACTCAGTGTCACTGCTTGGCAGGACAGATAGGTCAGAAAAATCTGTCTCCCCAGCAGAGTTCTTCTCAATCCGTTTGATAGGCCAGGACAGGGACAGCAACTTTATCGTTTATATGTTCAGTGCCTAACGCAATGTGGTCTTGATTCCTGATTGGGATCTCTAGGAACTACTGCAATACAAACAATAATAATAAATAGTGCACTTAGTTCTTTGAGTAGGAACATAGAGTTTGCCATGTTGGATCAGATAAATGATCCACAGAATTCATTGTCTTGTCACTAATAGAGGCCAATACCACTTTCTTCAGAAGAAAGAATCCTCCATAATGGACAATTATATAGTCCCACAAATCAGTATTTAGTTTATAACTTATTTTTAAATGGATCCTATGTACTATACCTGTGAATGTTCACCTTATTCATATAAATATCTTTACCTTTCTGGCATTCTGTCAAGTTTCTAACCACAGTGAGATCTTGTGGTAATGAGTTCCATGGGTAGTGCATTCATCTTTTTTTCCTTTTATTATTTTTAAATATTTAGCTTTTCAGTTCCATCGACCTTCTCCTCAGTCTCATATTATGTAGAAGTATAAATAGGAGTGCCCCGTTTACTTTCTCTTACATCATTCATTATATTATCTACCTTTAGTGTGTCCCCTTGTATTCATCTCCTCTCTAAAGGTACAGGACTAGGTCCTCTGCTGGTTTAAATTGGCAAAGTACTAGTGAAGAAAGCTGTGCAGATTTATGCCTTCTAAAGAGCTAGCGAATGGAGTAAACTGATTATTTAAGAAGGAGGTTTGAAAGGGGCAGTTTAAAGAGATCAGAGCATCACTAGTGATGCCAGAGTATCTGAACAACGCCTGATGATCCTTTTACCTGCAACTGAAGTGCAGCCCCCTCAGGGAGAAATGAAATAACTCTTTAACAACACCTAGCAACACCGTATACCAGTTTAAGACTGGAAATAGAAAATATCTTTTCCAGTTGAAACTGTAGTGGGGGCAAAAAAAGTTGTTCTGAAATTAGATATTTCACCAGGATTGTATTGTTATAAAAGGTGCCAGGAACGCAAGTAGAAAGAACCTCTGAAATAATGGCATGTTTATTACCATTCTGGAGTACAAGTTGAACCTTTTTAGTTCGGCACCCTCAGGATTTGACCGGTTCCAAGTGAGAGAATTTTCCGGACCACGGGAAATCAATATTGTCTAGCAGCATTACCAACACTTCTATTGCTTACTGGGCTGTTAGGAGGCTTTTGGGGTAAATTAGGGCTAAATAACAGTACAGAACACTGGGAGTCAGGACTGGTGGCTGTAAACAAACTTTATGAGACTGTAGGAAACTTGGCCACAGCCATGAAAAGTGGCCATCCAACTAACTACAATCATTCCAGATGGCAGATGTTTCTAGACCAGAGAGTTCTTGACTAAAGAGGTTCAACCTGTAGTGACTCAGTACTGAGTCACAGAGAAGATTATCACTTACTGAGTCCTCGGTACCACTTTCTGTCATACCAAACTCTTCCTTAGAGATCTTCTGCAGCACACATGTTCCCATCGCCATCTGCCAAGCGTGCAATGTAGGATGATCCCTTTCTGATGTGATATGAATTATAGACATGGATGTATTACTCTTTTTGAAAACCTGTTGCAAGACCGAGATGAGCCATACACAGTTGTACAGTATCTCAGAGACCTGGTGATAGCTCTTGCAAATTTTTTTCTTGCATTCTGTGTTTGTTTTTATTAATCTGATTGAAAAGGCTTTTGCAAAAATGTATTGATACATATGGCATTTTCTTTCTTTATTTCTTTTTGTTTAACAGGATTCCCTTATGCCAAATCTGCTTCTCTTCCCGGCTATGGAAATAATGGATTGCACCAGGTAGATATTACCTTAGAATGTGTAACATCTGCTAATACTGTACCATAAATACACAGCTTAGTAACCAGGTAGATAATCACAAATAACAGAGCACTCTTCAAAGGCTTTTGGCTGCCAACTGTGCATAACATAATCATATACCAAAGGGTTCAACCATGCCTGTCTTCAACAAGCAGTGAGCCCAATAAGAGCTCTTGATTGTGTGTGGCTTTCTGAAATTCCACATACATTATATCCCCTGGATCGCCCTTGTCCACATGCTTGATAACTCTAAGAATTCTAACAGGTTAGTGAGGCATGATTTCTCTTTACAAAAGCTGTGTTCACTCTTTCTCAAAGTCTCTTGTGTATCTATCTGATAGCTCTAATCTTTACTACAATTTCATCTGGTCTGCCTGCTACTGAAGTTAGGTTTACTGGCCTATAATTGCCAGAATTGCTTCTGGAGGCATTTTTAAAGATCAGCATTATATTAGCTACCCTCCAGTTATCTGGTACAGAAGCAATAGGTTCCATACCACAATTAGTAGTTCTTCAATTTCATGTCTGAGTTTCTTGAGAACTCTTAGATGAATACCATCTGCTCCTGGCGACTTATTGCTCTTTAACTTATCAATGTGTTCCAAAACCATCTCGACGGACACCTCAATCCAGTACACTACCTCAGATTTATCACTGAAAAAGAATGACTCAGGAGTGGGAATCTCCTTCACTTCCTGCACAGAGCAAGCCAATACAAAGAATTAATTTAGCTTCTCTACAACAGCTTTGTACTGAGTGCTCCTTTAGTACCTTTATTGTTCAGAGTCCCCACTGATTGTTTGGCAGGCTTCCTGCTTCTGATGTGCATTTAGAAAATATATTTTTCTATTTACTTTTGTGGTTTTACTTAGTTGCTCCTCACATTTTTTTTCTTGGCCTCCCTAATTATACTTTTACATTTGACTTGTGAGAGTTTCTGCTCCTTTCTGCTTTGCTCAGTGAGATTTGACTTCCAATGTCTGCCTATACAGAATACTTTAGTTAGGGAATCAGTGGTATCTGGCTGGTTTATTGGTAAGAAAATTACCAATTTGAGGCAAGAGGGAGATTAATAAATTACTTTGAATTTAGTAAAACTGGGAAGTCCTTACAGTTACTTACACTGTAAGCTTCTTGGGGCAGGAGGTTTTTGTTCTCTGTTTGTACAGCACCTAACACAATGATGGTCCTGATTGAGACTGGATCATGTAGACACCTGGGCTATGTCTACACTGTGGCATTATTTTAGGATACTAGGGCTACGTCTACACTGGCCCCTCTTCCGGAAGGGGCATGTAAATTTCACGAGTCGTCGTAGGGAAATCCGCGGGGGATTTAAATATCCCCCGCGGCATTTAAATAAAAATGTCCGCCGCTTTTTTCCAGCTTTTAAAAAAGCCGGAAAAGAGCGTCTAGACTGGCCCCGATCCTCCGGAAAAAGCGCCCTTTTCCGGAGGCTCTTATTCTTTCTTCAAATCTGAATAAGACCCTCCGGAAAAGGGCACTTTTTCCGGAGGATCGGGGCCAGTCTAGACGCTCTTTTCCGGCTTTTTTAAAAGCCGGAAAAAAGCGGCGGACATTTTTATTTAAATGCCGCGGGGGATATTTAAATCCCCCGCGGATTTCCCTACGACGACGAGTGAAATTTACATGCCCCTTCCGGAAAAAGGGCCAGTGTAGACGTAGCCCTCCTGTCTTTTTCTATCCCTAGTTTAAGCATGTGAATATGAATGTTATAAATTAGAGAAAGAAAATAGCTATTATGTCAGCTGTATATCCCAAGAAAGGAACTTAATTTGAAATCTGTGTCATGTTCTATCTGGCAACTGAAGTGTAACAAGCAAAGCTAAATGCATAATCAGACAGACATCAGTACAATTACATATAAAAAACTATCAGATCCCATAATTACCCTTTTGGATGGGATTCGGATGAGACTAAAACAGGTAGCATTGCCTGAGTTCTTTGACTGGTAGCTTTCAGAGCTCAGTGACCCAGATGGGCTATCAAGGATGGTGCTGCAGCGATCTGACAGAAAAAAACAAAAACAAAGATTATACCAGAATCAGATTTAGAGACTCTTTTACATTCAAGTCAGGTACAGCGTGCTCTGGTTAGAATGAAATGATCTCCATATTGTTATCTGTCAACCTTAATGTTAAAGTCTTTGCATATATGCAGTAGTTAAATTCACTCCACTAAATGAAGAGATGCGTAATTCTAATTTGCAGATCATTCATAAATATCTATATTAAAATAACAAGTACATAGCACAAGGGGAAAGCACCAGATTTTTGTATCTAAAGTCCAGAACCAAACAAAGGGCCATACGTTTACAATTTCTTTTTACACGTGTAAGAAGAATGTGAGAAAATGTAATTTTTCCGAGGGATTGGCATATGAGCTGAATGGGTTTCCAGTAGTGATGGGGAAAGTCAGCAAAGTATCTTCTTTTTCTGGAGGATGTTTTCTATTCATCCTGATTCCCCCGAGACTTAGAATTTAGTTTTGTATTTTGAATGGGAGGGACTATGCCTTCTCTCGTAGTTAAAATTAAAGAGTTAAATATTTATTATTTTAAAATGTTAATTATAATGTAAGTGTTTAAAAATCTGTAGGTTTTGGATGGCTGGGGCGCTGCCGGTTGGCCTCTTAAGGGGGGGTAGTCTTATACAGCGAGTATAAGACGAAAACCTATCTTTTAACTAGAAAATTAGGGGGTCGTCTTCTACGCCCAGTCGCCTTATACGCCGGAAAATACGGTACGCTACTCAATTTGTGTAGCACAAATTGTGCAGCTTATTTCAAGGTAAAGGTGCACTGTAAAACAAATAACTAATAACAATAGTTGAGTCAGCTGATTAAAAATCAGCCATCAAATGAGGTTGGTAGTTCATTATTTCTGATGTTGTGATTGAGATTATTTATTGTAATCGTCATAAATTAAGTTGACAGGTGCATAATGTGTTGTGAATAGTTAATGAAGACTGTTGTACCCATCTTTCATGAGTTCACAGAAAGGGCAGGGATGACTCGAGCCATTCCTGCGCCCCGGGCAGCGGGTGCGTGATGCATGCGTGGCTCCACCCCCGGTGCGCGGCTCCCCTTAAAGCTGCCATCAGGCGCTCCCCATAGATTGGCGCCTTGGGCAGCTGCCCAGCTAGTCATCCCCCCCCTTAATCCAGCCCTGAGAAAGGGGAGGGAGTATGGAGCTGCCCTAGACAAAAGACTAGACCCTGCATGTTGAGTTGTGCATGAATTCATCCCTAATTGCTCCAGTAGGCATATACATCCACCACAATGGGGAGGGACAAAGCTAGCTATGTAGCATTGTGAAACAAGCATGTTTTGTTTTATTTATTTATTGAAAATATTTTTACCCTGGCTCTCTATTTGAAATATTTGAGGCGGCTTATAACATTTTTTAAACACAATACAGGCAGTCCCCGGGTTACATGGATCCGACTTACATCGGATCCCTACTTACAAACGGGGTGAGGCAACCCCGCACTAGCTGCTTCCCCGCAGCAGACCAGCCCCCCCCCCCCCCCCCAGATGACCAGGGAGACGCAGAGCAGCTTTTCTCAGCAGACACCTCAGCTTGAGAATAAAGGACTGAGGGAAGTGAGGTTTGAGAGAATAAAACTGAGCTCTGGAGAAATGTTTGGCTAGAGTTTCCCCTACAATATGTACCAGTTCCGACTTACATACAAATTCAACTTAAGAACAAACCTCCAGTCCCTATCTTGTACGTAACCCGGGGACTGCCTGTACACATATATATTAAAAGTTAAAATCCGAGACCCCAGAAGGACATAAAACCTACTAAAAGCATCTCATACAGACTCAAACAGCAATAAAAGCATGAGTGAAAAGGATGGCTTCCTGACACCGAAACAGTGCTAACATTGGTGCCATGTGAGTATCCTAAGGAAGATAATTCCACAGCCTGGGAGCAAAAGCTGAGAAGGCCGTGTTCTGCATAGATGTTAATCTTATCTCCATAAGAGACAGAACACTGAGTAGGGCCTCCCCAGCTGACTTCAGTCCCCAGGCAGGTTCATATGGGAGAAGACAGTCCTTCAGATACCCCGGACCCAACCTGTTTAGGTGCTTCATAGGTCATAACCAAGACCTTAAATTGTGTCCAGAAACATACCGGAAGCCAGTGCAGCTGCTAAAGCACTGGCATAATGTACTCCACATAACGAGTATTAGTTAAAACTTGAGCAGTCGCATTCTGGACCAGTTGAAGTTTCCAAAGGCTCTTTAGAGGCAGCCCCACATAAAGCACATTACAGTAATCCAGTTGGGATGTAACAAGAGCATGGATCACTGTGGCCAAGTCATGCTTGTCCGGGAAGAGTCGCAGCTGGCGGATCAGACGAAGCTGCCCTAAAGCACTCCTGGCCACCAAAGAAATCTAGTTCTCAAATGTTGAAAACAGGTCTAGGAGGACTCCCAAGGTGTGTACTTGTTCTTTCAGGGGGAGTAACCCCTTCTAGAACAGGTACCATGCCACATTCCCGAGAAGTTTGCAGGAGAACAGTTTACTATTCAGAATTAAACAGTGCAATAGACATTTGCAACCAGCAGGTGGCAATACTTCTCCCAATTATACAATGCAAAAGTTCAAACACATATATAAACTTCATGAGTTGAAAAGGTTGTGCACGGTCAAGTCCTTTAGGCCAAAACTGTGGCATTCTTTTCAGCATAGCTGTTCTCTGTTTGGAATGCAGGCTTGTACCAACTTTTGTGGTTTGTTATTTTTAATCAATTCTCCCAATGCTGAATAATAAAACAAAACAAAACAAAAATGGGGCTTTACAGGATCTGTAAACATGGTTATGCATGTGACTCATCCCCTAACAGGCAAAAAAGCACATCAGGATTTAAAACACTGTTTTTCCAGTATCCTATAATGTCAGTCAACTTATCATAGCATTTATCAATCAGAAGGAGAACAGAGAATGTGTCACATGCACACAACTCCTATTTGACTTTATTAGCAACTGTGAGCGAGGGCAGAATTTTGTTGGGAGTTTCCAAAGAGCCTAAAGGTTTGACTCTCTCAGCTTCCACTCAATTTCAATGGGATTTGGGTGCCTAACTTTATTAGTCTATTGTGAAAACTCTAGCCTTAGCCAATAGTGTCAGGTCTTTTAAAACATAGTTCAGCACACCTGTTGGGAAGGAGGGTATAGGTGACTTTCTGCTATTTTTCCATCTCTTTGATTCTGGGGAATGCTGGGGATTGGCATTCAAGTTACAGAAACCTCAATTTGCTGTGGAATGAAGCACGGGATATATGAGGGATTGAGAATCTGGCTTTTAGTGTCTACCTAATCATCTGTTTTATACGGCCACCAATCACCATAGAATCGGAACACCTCCAACATAAAATACATAGCAATAGTGAAGTCCCTCATTAATTTCAAGGAGTCTGTAGCACTTCTCCTTTTTAAGGGATTAATTCTCTTTTGGGGAAGGATTTTGGTTTTAGTGTTTTTGGTAGAGGTACAGCACAAGAAAGGGAGCATCAGTGTTAGTCTTGTTCTTTTGGCTAAAGCAGCTTTTCAAAGAGGAAGATTTTGCAACATTTCCTAAGGATGCTCAGGCTCTGGATTTGTCTCATCTCCTCTGGAAGCCATTTTGCAGCTGCTTCAGTAGCCTGCTTGGAAAAATTAGATTGTGTTTTAATTAAACTGTTTACTTCTTTTAAAGGATTTGTATTTTGATTGGCAGGTATACTTTCTTATTTCCAGCTATAGTGATTTACGTACTCTTGTGTTTGTTGCTACACTATTTGTTTCTTTCTTTTTCAGACAGCAAGTATGGGCCAGTATGAAACAGACCAAGATTCCAGTTGGGGGACAAGAGGTACTTTGAGATGATTTTCAGACACTCCTGTCTTTCATGGGTTTTGTTCTTTGGAGGGGTTTGTTAACATGGTGGTACTGCTGTTATCCTGTTAGGCCCTCTCATGGCTCTGCTAAGGATGGCTAGATGGTAGCACAGCTCAGCAATCTGTCAAGTTCGGAGAATCAGCTGACACTGTTCCTTATTTTTTACTTTAGTAAGGACAGCGGGCCTGAATAGAGTACTGCCATCATAAGTTCAGTCAGTCTCTGTACCCCCAGCACCAGGGCCTGCTCGAGCCGTTCCTGCTCTCCAGGCAGCGGGCATGTGACGCATGCGCGGCTCTGCCCCTGGGCGCATGGCGCATGTGCGGCCCTGCCCCCCAGCACGCTGCACACCTTACAGCTGCAATCGGGCATGAGGCGCCTGATGGCAGCTCCAAGGGGCGCCGCGTGGCCCCCGGCCCCAGGCGCATGGCGCCTGATGGCAGCTCTAAGGGGCGCCACGCAGCTGGGCGCTTGGTGCCCCTTACAGCTGCCATCAGGCGCCCCCCATAGGTTGGCGCCCCGGGCAGCTGCCTGGCTAGCCCCTTCCTTAATCTAGCCCTGCCCAGCACTTGGCAGTGGCCTCCATTTTCCTCCGTTGTTAGCCGGTGATATTCTCATTCCCAAGGTAGAGAGGAAATTCAGATTAGTCACCAATCACAAAGTGTGTGCATTGCACTTAATCACTGTGTTACAATGGAACCTAAACCTTAGCAGGATCGCAACATACAGTATCTGTCTACATTAACTTCTCCTATTATGAGTCAATCTGTTCGTGATCATAATGAGCTGGGTGGGGAGGTGTGGGGTGGGATATTCCTAAAACCTCAAATAGGAACTCTGAAGCCACTTAAGCTCTTTTGAAAATCCCACCCTTAGGCTTTGCCTGTGTTGATCCTTAATTTAGTTTCAGGATCTGAGTAGATAAGGGAGCACAACTTCAAAGAAAAATGTCATCTCTGATTTGAAATATTTTAGGCAACAGCGGTTCCACAAAGGCCTCCCCACTACTCTGGTTGTCCTTTCAAGCATCCAAATGCTATAGGGACTGGTGGCCATGTGGCAGTCTATTCAGCAACATTGGCCTAACTAGTAGGCTTATGCTAGCTGAGGCCCAGTAACCCCTAAAAAGAACAGAAAAGAAACCCGCATTGTTCTTCCTGCAGTCTTTTCTTCCACTTCAATTGGTCCAAATGCAGTGTGTTGTCACTTTGGAACGTTCTGTTAAGATGATGATGTTCATATGTTCCAAGATTCTAATGTGTCTAGTGATCTGTATGTTTTAATGATTTTCAGTAAAGAGCAGTAAGGGAGAAGGTTTCAGACAAGACACTGAGTTAACTCACACACAAACCACTTGAGAAGAAAGATTTCCAGCTTTCCCCATAGGATGCCTGTTGTTTAATCCCACTTCTGTGATGCAGATTTTCAGCATCATTGTTCAGCAATGGATAATGTTAGTACCCTCCAGACCACCAGAGTTCGATTACCTTACCCTCAGTTATCCATAAGATAGTCAAGGAATCGAGAGAAATGCAATAATTTGAAACATTCATCTCTGCTAACTATCTGCATATGCCATCATAAAAGAACCCTGCATATTCTAAGCTATCAAACCGTTTCCCATTTTCTTACAGAATACAAGGTAAGAAGTGCCATGCCAACACTGGGAGAATGTTCAGATTCACCTCTTCCTAGCAAGGTTAAATGTGTTCCTTTTTCCTTATTGTGTCCATGTGAAATATGTATGTCAAATATGGATAAAAGTATGTATCATTTAAATTTGTAAGTTCTACACATTGCCACACAGCAGAAGCACATTTTACTAGAGTTGATGCCTTTATTCCTTTTTGTAACAGATCTATCCTTATGAAACGCTTATTGTAACAAACCGAATTCGGGTGAAACTGCCAAAGGATGTGGACAGGACCAGACTGGAGGTAGGAAACCATATGCTTTTGAAATCCTTGTTCTGTTCATTCATTAACTTACTTACAGTTACTGCTACTGTATGTCCTTAGTATAAATTAACTTAGAAGTCAGGTTCTCCTCTTTGAAACTAAACTTGTTTACACCAACTAAATCATAGAATCATAGGACTGGAAGGGACTTCGAGAGGTCAGCTAGTTCAGATACTCATGGCAGAACGATTTTTTACCTAAACCATCTCTGACAGGTGCTTGTCTAACCTGTTCTTAAAAATATTCAATGATGGAGATTCCAAAACCTTCCTAGGCAGTTTATTCCAGCAGTTAATTACCGTGACAGGAATGTCTTACCTAAACCTCCCTTCCTGAAATTTAAGCCCAACGCTTCTTTTCCTATCTTCAGAGGTTAACAATAATTTTGAAACAACCTTTTATGTACTTAAAAACTGTTATCATGTCAGAGCTTGTCTGGAGGGGTTTGCCCATTAACCAGATGTTGATGTTTTGTAGCAATCATTTATTTGGGCAGCAATGCTTATCAGTTTACATAGTTCACTGAGCCCTGGTTTACACTAGGAAGTTATTTCAAAATAACCCCCCTTATTTCAAAATAATATGTGGAGCATCCATACTACCGAGCCTGTTATTTCGAAATAAGGGGCTGGTTATTTTGAAATCTGTACTCCTGCTTTCCTCAGAGAATGACGCTTATTTTAAAATTGTTATTTTGGGAGTTATTATTTCAAATTTAGTTATTTTGAAATAATTTCCTAGTGTAGACATACCCTGAGAGCCCTATTCTATAAAGTGCCGAGAAAAATATTCCAGTCTCTTAATATCCATTGAACTCAATGGAATTTGAAGGAATTCAGTCCCTTGTGGGACTTGACCCTGGGAGATATCATTCATTTTCAAGTTACCGATCTCTTAACTAAATGAGTTGGTGAATATGACATTAGTGAACATTGTGAGTACAAAGGTGTATTTTCCAGGAAAGGTCTGTGTCTCTCACCATTTTTGAAAAAAATAATAAAATAATTAGTATTTTGATTATTTGTACCCGCCTGAGTATAAATATTCTGATAAAAAGAGGTTATGAATGGAGAAAAAAGAAAAGTTTACAAACTTTCAGGCCATTTATACACCATGACAGAATTAAAAATCTTGACAGTGAAAGAATTTGCTCTAATATATCAAACATTCAGAATTCCAGGAGTGCTTCTCATAAATAAAAGGCCTGATTCTCCAATCTCTTTCTATATACAGAACAATTTCTGAAGCCAACATAAATTCTAAATTTGGAAGTCTTGGTTGAACCCAAAACTTGGTATTCTCAGTCTAATTATATTTGTGTTAATCAACATGGTGACTTCATTTCACAGGCTGTATTAAGGTGGTTGTTTTATAAAACAGTGTACATACACATCTGCAAAACAAAAAAGTGCTTGTAGATCATAACATCAATGGATATTTTAACTGCTTTATGTCAGAGAGTAAGGCAAACAGAATTGCTCTTACATTTTGGAGTTTATGACTAGACTCTGAATCAGCCACTGGGGTTAGATTATTAAATCTAAGTTTGAAGTATCACATCCATTTTTCATTAAATATATGTTAAAGCTGCAAATTACCACCAAAGTAAAAATGGAAGTTTATTAAGTTTGAATCTATGACATCACTCTGGCAGCTTCTCAGGTATGATTGTTTTGTTGTTAAGGACAGTTCTTTACTTTTAAGGCATGATTATCAGGGACATTCTGTACGTGCAGGCTTCTGCACAAAAAGACATTCTATGGACCAACTACAACCCCTTCATCAGGGAACTTCGGTATATTCTGATTCACCTGATAGACCATATAATCAAAATAACCCATTCAGGTGCTAGTTGAGTGATGTTTCTGGAGAGCCAGTGGCTATCTGGTGGTCCTGCAGGAGATCCGATGTTGCTGGATAATTTCTTGGGTTCAATTTTATTATTTTCTAGACCAGCAAGATCTGAGAGCATTGAAGAACAGTATGCTCAATTCTGCTTGTGTTGCTTTAGTGTCTTTAGTGCTTTAGTGCAATAGTGCTTTGCCAATTTAAAGTATGATATTGATAGGCTGCTGATAGAGTCCCATCTAGCTTCTCCTAACCAGAAAGCCATTGCTCATGATAGATACCAGTAGGTGTGAGAGAGGCAGCAAATAAATGAACAAACAAGGAAACAGAAGATTTCTCTCTCCTCAAGATGAAGACAATAGGAATAACTTCCATTTATATCTAATTACCTAATTTATCGATATCCAAAAACACTGAACAAGCTCAGTATATCTTACAATACCAGTGAAATGCAGCCATTCCTGATTGGTGAGGGTAGCAGCCAACCACACTCTTCACAAATATGGGTATGTCTACACTTGCACCCTCTTTCGAGAGAGGGATGCAAATGCAGCTGAGCAAAATTGCAAATGAAGCACAGATTTGAATTTCCCGTGCTTCATTTGCATAATCGCGAACCGCCAGTATTTCAAAATACCCTATTTTGAAATAACAAACGCTGTGTAGATGCGGTTATTTTGAAAGGAACCCCTTCTTTTGAAATAACCGGTAAATCTCATTTTTTGAGGAGTAAGGCTATTTCGAAAGAAGGGGTTTCTTTCAAAATAACCGCATCTACACAGCGTTTGTTATTTCAAATTAGGGTGTTTCAAAAAAGTGGCGGTCCGCAATTATGCAAATGAAGCACGGGAAATTCAAATCCGTGCTTCAGTTGCAATTTCGCTCAACTTTATTTGCATTCCTCTCTCGAAAGAGGGTACAAGCATAGACATAACCTAAGTGGGCAGAAATCTTTTTCTATCATAATACCATTGCAACCTGCTCCTCAGAAGGTTCCAGGGTATCTTGAATATCCATATTGAGCAGCCAGTCATTTGGCTTTTGAGGTCCTATATAAAAGAACCCCACAGAATAAAGTGCATATTAGTAAATTACTTACGCTGAAGATATCAGATGTCTGAGTTTATCTTGCTAGAATTTGTACCTGTGTTTTCAGGGAGTCTAAGGATCCTATTCTGCTGTCACTCACTCTGGTGTAAATCAGAAATTGTCTCCTTTGAAGTTGATTAAGTCACACACATGTCAGAATCAGAATTGAAACCTCAACCTTTGGCTCTTTGAGCCATAAATATGAGCAAACCAGAGTTACCATTAATGCATGTGTTGAACAGTTCATATCTGAGAATGGCCAATTGCTGACATCCAGAGTCAACCACAGTTTCCTCCATCAGTGGAATTTTTGTCTGTGTAAGGACTGAATAATGAATCAAGTATTTTACATAAATGATTACTGAATTATTGTTGATTAATTTTAGGATTAAGAAATCATTCAATAATTGTAAAATAAAAAGTCAATGATTACCAGTCTTGATCTTTGAAGAAGGTTAACGGCAAAGTAAAAAATATGACATTTGCCAATAAATGTGGAGAAAAGGGCATTAATCTTTAAACAGAAAAGAAAGGAAAACTGTGAAATAGTTGCAAGCTCCCATATGAAGACTAAACAGTGGTAAATATTTTCAAAGATCCCTATAGCATAGGCTTATGGTATTTATTGGAATGGGTGTTTGTTCTTTAAATGCTTCAGTGCTCTTCTTGCTTGATTATCCAGCAGGCGATAGTGATTTGATTGTACGAAACGGAATGTCTCAGATGTGTGCTGTTTTACGCCCGGGGTATAGCAAAGCTCCAAAGGTGTAATAAAAATCAAGAAGAGTCCAAGAAAAGGAAAAACACACATCTGGACACATCCTATACATTAAAGCATTCTTTTCTCTTTTTTTTTACGTGAAAAAATAGAGTCTTTGTTTAAACTATCAGGCTGGTCTGAATAGCAGGCACTGCGCTAAATTGCTTTTTTTAGACAATGTATAGTTTGCTTTGGATGGATAGTGAATGTTCTGGCTGCCATTCTCAATAACTCATACATTGTCCTCAGCTGGGGCTGCTGTTTGTTTAACATGAAAGTGGCTCAGCCTGCTTCACACCAGGTGCAGACCTCTGCCTAAAGTCTTGAGAAACCCAACCACTTCAAAGATCTCATAGTGATTTCCAAAAGAACAATAAACAAGATTTGCTTCAAATCTGCAGTAGGAAAACGATAAAGGGACCAGACAACTGATCCCGGCAGTTGCTGCGCTATGTTAAAACATGCATCTGAGAAAAGGACCTCTGTGTGCAGCATCTTGGATTGATTAAGGGTTGGTAGTTTTTTTAACAATTAAATTAGCAACATTTAAATAGGATGATAGCAACTGGCAAAACAGAGGGGACAGATCTGCCCTTTCAAACCGTTGTGCAAAGGAAAGCTATGTGACCGGAGCAGATTCAAGGCTGATCGTCCTGTCCCCCTCCCCTTCCCGCTCCCCGCGTTAGAGAACTGCTGGGCTGAAACAGTTTTGCACAGAAAATCAGTTCATCGTTATTTCTTCTCATAGCAAAGGAGGAAGCCAGTAACTGAGCTCTGAACAGGGCAAGGGCAAAAGTGGAGGGTAAGCTTAGTAGGTTTCAGGGAGGGAGACAGACCAGACCCCAAGCAGCCCCTGACACACACCTTCACAGGAGCAGAGCAGAATTCCAACCACACACCTTTGAAGTGGTAAGAAAGGACTTAGGTAATGTGCATTGCAACCTGCAGTCTCATGTGGGTTTGAAGTGGCAGAAAATACAGGAGAATATCAGCTACAGCGCAATGCTGAAAATCCTCCTTTTGTCTGTTACCACTCCCCTCCCCAATTGCTAAGCTTTCTGTTGTAAGGGCTCGTGTGGGGGATAGCACTGATAAGGTATATAGATAACTCATGTATTCAGTAGGCTCGCTCAGATTTGATCTTTTAAACAACCTACATTTTCTAGCACCCGCTTTTACTGCAATAAAATCACTGGTCCTGATTTTTATCTCACTTGCTCTGCTGTAAACCAGTAGAAGCTCCCACAATGTCAATGGATTTGGACCAGAGCAAAACTGCTGGAGGAGAGAAGAAACTCATTGGCTGCATCTAGACTGGCAAGTATTTCCGCAAAAGCAATTGCTTTTGCTGAAAAACTTACCAGCTGTCTACACTGGCTGCTTGAATTTCTGCAAGAACACTGACGATCTCATGTAAGATTGTCAGTGTTCTTGCGGAAATGCTATGCTGCTCCCGTTTGGGCAAAAGCCCTTTTCCGGAAATGCTTTAGCGCAAAAGGGCCAGTGTAGACAGCTGAAAACTGTTTTGCGCAAAAAAGCCCCGAAGGCGAAAATAGCAATCAGGGCTTTCTTGCGCAAAACCGCGTCTAGATTGGCACGGACGTTTTTCCGCAAAAAGTGCTTTTGCAGAAAAGTGTCCATGCCAATCTAGACGCTCTTTTCCGCAAATGCTTTTAATGGAAAAACTTTTCTGTTAAAAGTATTTGTGGAAAATCATGCCAGTCTATTTGCCAGTCTATTGTAGCCATTATGTTTTTTGCTAAAGTTTGGACAGGAATATTACTTCTCCTTGTCCAGTGTGATTAAGGTCTGTAAACTCACTACTTCTGATCCCTTTGCCAGTCCTTAAAGCTGCTAATGCTGGAGATTATGAATAAGCAGGGTTTGTTTAACAGTTCTGGTTTAAATTGGCTTTAATTGAATTCTTTTTAGGGAAAAATAATTACTGTTAGTTTTCACTTCTCTGGTAGATTCTGTAGAAATCTTGAGTAGTTGTTCATCTTTTCTCAGATGTGAGAGGAAATCTGTTGTATTGGATATTTCCCTAATGACAAATAGAATCCAATGACTAAAGTTAGCCCCTGAGGGTCCAGTTAAGAGACATTACAACAAAAGCCATGTTAAAAAGGATTTATGCTCCCGTTGTGAGTGATTTTGAGACTCTCGCCTTCATTGTTCAAGAAATCTGTTTTAGAATTTAGAATCATACCTATTTAAATGTGTGCTTTTCAATGTATGGATTTAGCCAGTGAGTAGATAGGTGCAATTGGGAATAAATGTGTTTAAATAACATAAATTCTTTCTTCCAAGCCTCATACATCTGAGAGGCAGAAATAAGGACTTTATTTTTCTCTATTTGTTCTAAACCAGCACTAAGGCTGATATAACTCAGTTCCTGTTGCTTGCAGAGGAGACATTATTAATGCCAAAAGTTAACTATACACTGACCTTTTAGAATTGCCTAGAACAAGTGGCCTGCTGCCTGACAGGTACATCCCAGGCTCTCTGAATCCTTCAGTTCAAATGAATGTGCCAAAGCCTCAACTGCTGTAAACTGACTTCAGTCATTTTATGTGAATTGACAACAACTGAGGATCTGGCCCACAAATTTTTTGAGCTGTTTCTTCTTCACTTTATTCTAATTTAAGATGAATGAAGCCGCATTCTCAGGAGTGATTCTGAAAGGAAATGTGGAAAGAGGTAGGAATGAGCTTAAATAATATTTCAATACAGGTTGGACCTACATAGTCCAGCACCCTTGTGACCTGATGAGGAAATTTGCCTGATCAAGGAAGATCCCCAGCCTACTGTCCCTCTCGGCAGCTGGCTCAGCTAGGGCCCAATGCCACTGGGCTCTGGCCTTGCTGCAGCAGGGCTTGGGCTCAGGCTCCGGCCCCACTTCTGCACCGCCTGGCCCGGGCTCCCCAGAAACGGGGCTTGCAAGCTGCTGGCAGCCATGGGTAGGGCTCCCTAGGGACAGCTCGAAGGCTGTAGTGCTGTCTCACCTGGCTAGGGCTCCTCAGGGATGGGGCTTCCTGGTCCTGCTAATTCTGCCCCGCCGCTTCCTGCCCAGACTGAGGCTCCCAGCTCCAGGCCGACTCTCACTCTCAGCCACTGGCGCTGTATGGTTCAGCAACATCTGTGGTCCTGCTAGACCACAGATATTGCTGAACCAGGGAGTCCCAGATGTAGGAGTTTTAACCTGTGAAATGAAGTAGTAAAACAGCATTAGCTGGTATGGGCATAATTATTTTTGGAGTTAATTTTTAATGCAGCATGATTCATACAATAAAAATAATTCCGGTCCCTCTATTTGCCTCTTTCAGACACCCTTATTTGTAGTTCGCTGGTATTTCTTCTCAATAATGACATATGGATTTAAATGATAAAGAAGGTTGACTTAATAGACTAAGAACTATTAAAGTGGGCATATGTAATTCCAGTTCCTGAACAGCTTTTTCGACTTGTTTTCCTACAACTAGATCAAAGCATATTGATTGCCACACATGCATACTTGTGCAGGGAAAATAACTGTACCTCTGAAGTGACAAACCAGAACAGTGCACTGTGTAATTAAACAGTACTTGTGTAATTCTTAAAGATCATACTCTGCAACTCTTGCTTTGAGTAGTACTTACTCTTGTGAGTAGTCTACAGTCCCTTCATTGGTGACTACTCACAGGAGAGTTCCTAAAGCTGTTTCTAAACAAGTAAATTGCAGCAATTTAGGTGAATTGTTTTAGAAGCCAATTTACTTAAATAGGGGCAACCTCCTTGTTTAGATGTTCATGTTTTCGCTTGTGTGCCCAATAACAATTTAGTTTAAATTGATTCCTTACTGACTTAATTCAATTGCTGCCACATTTTTGTAGACAAAGTCTTAGTCTGAAGATTGTAGAATGTAGTCCTAAAATGTTGCCAGTGCTGTAGTTTTGAAAGAAAAGTTATACTGGTAGTAGTTTGTTCTGAGTATTAGTAAGATTAGTAAGAAGAATAAGTTTATACAGCAAAACTGTAGAACTGCATGTTCTAGAAGAGAGATGACCATTTTCAGAGAGCTTACAAACTCAAGGTTCTAAAGCAGTGGTCTCTAACCTTTTTAAGCATGAAATCATTTTTTTGACTATAAGTGCAATCCAAGATCTACCTCACACCTAAATACCCTTGTCCCGCCTCCTTCGTGCCCCTTCTCCAAGGCCCTGCCTAGGGTTGCCAGGTGTTTGGTTTTCTACCGGACAGTCCAGTATTTGCACCCTCTGTCCAGTAGAAAAATTCAGAAAATACCGGATATGTGCAATGTCCAGTATTTTCTGAATTTCTGGCTGGGCACAGGACAGAAGCCTGGCGGGGACGAGGGAGTGACTGGGAGGTGGGGCCACGGTTGGCGCTATGAGCCTGTGGTCTCATGCAAAAGCCGGGGGGTGGGG